TAACTTTGCTCTAGAAAACCTTTCTCCACGTGGCAGGCCCAGACAGGCCCGCTTCCTAATGCTCCTGGCATTCCTTTTGTTTCTTGCTTATTGATTTTTCCTTTTGCAAACAGGACAGGGGTGCCCACTATTCAAGGAAAACCTTCTTTTGTCAAGTCTCAGGCCCTTCCTAGTGTTGACTGGCTGTCTAGACAGAGAGGTAAAAATAATTGCCCTAGGGCAAGCACAACCTCAACTTCGTCATCCATTTACATTTTTACATCCTCCTAAAAGTACACCTGCATCATCCTTTGTCTTGGTGCTTTGACAGTGGGCACGACCCAGGGCCGCGCAGCTGCCCGTCCACAACCATCCTCTTTAGAGAATTCACCGTTTTTTAATAGGGATTTAGGGCCCTAAATCACCAAGGGTGACCCCGTCAGGCTCCCTGGGTCATAAAGGAGACTCATAAACGGTTCTTGGATGATACGGTGGGGAGGGCTGGCTGCTCCCGGGAGTCTCACAGCATCCTGACTGCCTGGCCGGCCAGAGAAAATTATGGGTATGTTTTCAGTGAACATCATTTCTTGCTGACTCTTGTCTGCCTGGAAAATTATCCGTGAGGAGATGGACTAAGGTGCCGTTTCTGTTAACTTAGTTTTCTTAATGATAGTTGTTGGGGGATGGTTTAGACCGTGAGAGCTTTGGGTTGTTTTCCCCACTCCCCCGGCCCCCCAGCTACAGAGGAATTTCAGAGACTGGTAATAGTCATCTCTGAGATAAAAGTCAGTGTGTGCTCGGGGTTTTTACTTACCCCTTTTTAGAGTCTTCCCCCGCCCCCCTCCTTGAATGTTGGCTTCTACTCATTAAATCCCTTTCAAGATTGTTTTTCTTTCTTTTTTTTTCAGCCACAAAATAAACCTGTGCCTACTTGTCGGGGACCTGGGAAAAAGGAAGTTGGGCCTAGCATGGCCTCCTCCTGGGGCAGTTCTCGTGTGGTTTTTAAAAAACATTATTTATTATTTTTGACTGTGCTGGGTCCTCATTGCTGGGCGTGGGCTTTCTGCAGTTGCTTTTGGGCTTCTCTTGTCGCAGAGCATGGGCTCTGGGGCTCGAGGGCGTCAGTAGCGGCGGCACAGGGCTCAGCTGCTTCCTGTCATGTTGGGACCTTCCCGGCCCGGGGATCAAACTGCTGTCCTCTGCCTGAGAAGGTGGATTCTTAACCACTGGACCACCAGAGGTGTCACTCTCTCACCCTAGATTTTTCCCCAGCAGCCCCCTGTCCCGTGCCTGGTGGGGACGGGGCGGTAAGCCTGGAGTTCATGCAGGCTGGTTCCGTGGAGACGCCGAGACCGTGGTGCTTCCTAGGTCAGAATGGATCCAGCCCAAGGAGAAGCCGCAGGAGAAGCCCACAGCCCGGCTCCCGCTCCATCAGATCCCCATCCAGCTCCTCCCGCACTGTGGTGACTCTCCTCCAGCAGACCTGGAATCCGTCCGCTCCTACCTCCTCTCCTTTTAAATCCAGGCTGCCTTTGCCTTTCGCCTGGAATGGACCAAAAGAGCTGATCGGACCCACACGCGACAAGACCCCTCCTCTCGTCCCGCACTTCAGAGGGCTGTTTTCAGAACAGAGCGATTATTTGTCCCTATCATTATTGGCCCCTTTCCAAGAAGCCTTCCCATGTATTAAACACCTCTTAATCTATGACTGGATTGCTCTTCCCATCTCTGCTGCATTTTATATTTCTTTCCCTTTCTTGTGTCCAATCTGCAAAGTCCTTTTATTTTGAAAACGTCTCAGATGACTTATATACACTATTGATCAGTTCAGTTCAGTTCAGTCACTCGGTCATGTCCCACTCTTTGCAACCCCGTGAACCGCAGCACGCCAGGCCTTGATCCCAGGTATAAAACAGATCACTAAGGAGAACAGACCGTAGAACACAGGGAACTCTACTTAAAGCTCTGTGGTGACCCAAATGTGGAGGAGACCAAAGAGGGAGGGAGTGCATGTGTATGGATGGTTGATTCATTTTGCAGTGCAGTAAAAACTAACACGATATCTCATTAGCACGCCTCTCAGCCTTTTGGGGGGCAGGGGTAAAACAAAGATGAACTATCTGAATATCCTTGACCAGGTTTTTGTAAGTGTTAAGAGAGAAAAAACTCATCTTAGGGTCAAAAAAGTTTCAGGCAATAGTGGACAAGACAGGTTTCTCTATTGCAAGACTCCGCTGAGGCTTCACTCCGCTCCTGAGTTTTACTATGTGCTCAGCGGTGGTTTCCAAAATGACAGGACAACAGCACATCTACTAACAATTTATTTCTCAAGCTATCTCCAGAACCTAGACTATCAAGGAGCCTCAAACAGATTTTTGGAATATTCATTTCTTGAAGTTCGTATTTGCTCTGCTGACCCTTTGCTTTTTTTAAAAAAAAATTCAATTCTTAGTTTGTATTGGAGCGTAGTTGATTTACAAGGTTGTGTTAGTTTCAGGTGTACAACGAAGTGACTCAGTTAGGCATCTAGAGATAGCCACTCTTTTTCAGGTTCTTTTCCCGTAGAGGCCATCCCAGAGCGCTGAGAGTTTTGCTCGGCTCTCGGTCTCTCCCCAGCCCAGTTTCCGCCTCCATCTCCCCTCCTCTGTCCATGCTCCTCCTTTTAGGTCTTCACTGTCTTTCTCGTCTCTTTGGTCTCCTCTGGACCTCTTCTCCCGCTTGCTCTCCTTTCTCTGGTCTGAAAGGCTGTGAGCTCAGCGTGGAGCCCGGTCCCTGCGCGGTGGAGCCCCCCACGCCTCTGCCCTGCCCCGCCCTCCTGCCAGCCTCGGCGCCCCGGCCCCCTGCCCTCCGTCTATACCGCCAGCTTTGCGCTCAGTCTCCTTTGCCCCACCCTCCGAGCGTTCTTTCTCCCCATCCTGGATCCCTCTGATGCTGTCTCTCTCCCCAAGTCCTGAGTCTTTGCCTGAAGCTTTCAGCTGAACATTGGTCCATGCCCTGCCTCGACTTGTGTAAGAGGCACGTTTTTCTTTTGGTTCCCAAACAAAGAAGAGCAGAAAGCAGGTTCCCCTTCCCTCCTGCTCCCTGGGTGCCCAGGGCGCTGCTGAGCAGAGACGCTGGTTGTGAGGCTGGGGGTGCTGCTCGGGCGAGGCACCTGCCGTGTGATTGATGGGCGGGGTGGGCCTGTCTGCTCTGCCGGGCCAGGCAGGGAACGTCCAGTGAATAAACCAGTCCTTTCTCCTGTCCTCTGTTGAATGGCAGCATTTCTTTCGTCATGACTCTGCAACACTGGGAAGAGTGTAGATGTGGTTTATGGGGAATCATCTGAAGCCCAGACCGCCTTTCACTGACCCGGCGGAGGAAACCACGTCTGTCTCCAGGTGGGCCGTGAACTAGCCCTGATGTAAACTACCTTTGTTTACAAGGTAAACTGCCCCAGTTTACAAAGCTGGGCTTTCCGACTGGCCCTTCTTCTGCAGGCCCTCCAGGGTTTCTGTGAGTTAGTGAGCGATCATACTGATTTGAAATAATATCAGTTCTATTAATGTCAGCATTAATATTGATTTGAAAACAATGACACGTTACAGTTGGTTGGGAGATATTTTTACCTCTTTTCAGAATCAATTTTATTCCCGCATGACTCACATACAATAAAATGTACCCACTTAAGTGTATATTATGCAAATATTCGGGCTTCCCAGGTGATGCTAGGGGTAAAGAATCTGTCTGCCAATGCAGGAGATGCAAGAGACTTGGGTACGATCCCTGGGTCAGGAAGATCCACTGGAGAAGGGAATATCACCCCCACTCCAGTATTCTCATCTGTAAAATCCCAAGGACAGAGGAGTTTGGCAGGCTACAGTCCATGGGGTGGAAAGAGTCAGACACCACTAAGAGACTCAACATATGCAAATATTTACGTTCACATAATCACCCTAGGAATCAAGATGTAAATATATGTCCACTATGGTAGCCACTCACCACTTGTGGCTATTTAAATTAAAAGTAACTAAAGTGAAAAACAGTTCCTCAGTTCATCCCATTTCAAAATCTCAGTGGCAACATATAACATTATTGGCCACTGTATTTGACAGTGAAAAGTACAAATGCACACACATCTGATACAAAACATACATATATAGCATTGAGATAAAACATATCCATACACCCAAAAGTTCCTTTGTGCTCTTTTCCAGATAACTCCTAACTCCCAACTCTGATTTCAGGAAGTCACAGGTTTGAGCTGCTACTACACATTAGACCTGTGTTTTCCAGAGCTCCGTATTTATATGTAGTCTTTATTTACCTGGCTTTTTCTCAGCATAATGATCATAAGGTTGATCCATTCTTGCTGTAAGATCTGTAATTAGTTCCCTCCTTTTTATTTTTTAAAATTAGTTAATTAATTTTGGGGGCTGCACCTTGCAGCTCATAGAACTTCCCCAACCAGAGATCCAACCCACAGCCAGGGCAGTGGAAGCATAAAGCCTTAACCACTGCACCGCCAGGGAAGCCCTCATTCCCTTCTTTTTACGGCTAAACAGGATTCCACTGTATGCAGAGACCACTGTTAATTTATCCACTCACCTGTTGATGCCGTTTGGATTGCTTCCATTTTGGGATTATGCTAAATAAAGCAGTTAATTTTGTGGACATTTATTTTCTTTTTCAAAAAACATTTTAAATGAAGTTTAGTTGATTTACAATGTTGTGTTAGTTTCAGGCATACAGCAAAGGGATTCTTTTCAGGTTATTACAAGATATTAATAACCTGTGCTATACAGTAGGTCCTTGTTCATGGACATAGATTTTCATTTCACTTGCCTAAACACCTTTGGAATGGCTGGGTTATACGGCAAATGTATACCTAACTTTATAAGAGATTGCCAGACTGTCTTCCAAAATGGTGTACTATTTTACACTCCTATCAGCAAAGTAGGGGAGTTCCAGAGAACTCCAGATATTACCGTTTTTTATTTTGTTGTTGTTCAGTTGCTAAGTCGTGTCCGGCTCTTTGTGACCCCATGAATTGCAGCACACCAGGCTTTCCTGTCCTTCACTGTTTTTTATTTGCTTGTTCTGCTGCTGCTGCTGCTGCTAAGTCGCTTCAGTCATGCCCGACTCTGTGCGACCCCATAGACGGCAGCCCACCAAGGCTCCCCCGTCCCTGGGAATCTCCAGGCAAGAACACTGGAGTGGGTTGCCATTTCCTTCTCCAATGCGTGAAAGTGAAGTTGCTTAGTCATGTCCGACTCTTAGCGACCCCATGGACTGCAGCGCGCCAGGCTTTCCTGTCCTTCACTATTTTTTATTTGCTTGTTCTATTAAGTACTAAAAGAGAGTATCTCCCGCCTAGAATTGAATACTGTAATTATTTTCGGTTTCTCCTTTCAGTTCTTTTTGCTTCACTGTATTTTGAGATCAGTGCATTTGCATTGAGGAGTGTTTTGTCTTCAGGAGCTCCTCCTCTCATGATGATGAGCCCTGGTTTGCCCAAGTTCTGAAGTCCGCTTTGTCTGCTGAGAAAGCTGTGCCAGCTTTTCTTTTTAAAAATTAGGATGTGCATGGTATATTTCTCTCTCTTTGCTTTTAACTTATATGTGTATTTTTACTTAAATTTGGCATCTTTTAAATAGCATATAATTTAGTCTTGCAGGGGGTGGGGTGGGAGGGAGGTGAGATATATGTATGCATAGAGCTGATTCACATTGTACAGCAGAGACTAACACAACATTGGAAAGCAATCATCCTCTAGTAATGAAACAAATCATATATATGTTAATAAATAAATAATTTTACAATAAAACAAATCAAATTAAATATAATTAATTGATAAAATAAATAAAATTAGTTTATTTAAATTAAATAGAATTTAAATTTTTATTAAAAATAGAATTTAAATTTTAAAATTTAATTTAAAAATAATTTAAAAGATTTATTTAAATTGAATAATAAAATTAAATAATAAATACTTTTGATAAAATAAAATATAAATTTAGTATTTCTCTTTAAAAAAAGAATCTAGTTTGAGAATCTCTGACGTAATTGGAGTGTTTAGACCATTTGTATAAAAAAGATAATAACCAACAAAGAATAAACTCTGTGCTTTCCAAGTGTACAGTTTCATGAGTTTCAACATGCATGCACCCGTGAAGCCATCACCACAATTGAGAAGATGGGCATTTTCGTCTTTCCCCGGTTTCCCTGAGATCCTTGGTAACTCATCCCTCTTCCCTGACAACTGTTGATCTGCTTTCTGCCATTGTAGTTTGTATTTTGTAGAATTCTGTATAAATGTGCAGTGTGTGTACTCTTTCTTCTGGTATGCATCAAAATGATTCTGAAGTTCATTCATGTTGTTTTTTGTTCCACTTGTTTTTTTTTTTTTTTTTTGCTCCTTTGTATGTCTGTGTAGTATTCTGTTGTGTGGATATTGAACAATGTTTATTCATTCACATAGACATTTCGGTTGTTTATAGCTTTGGGCTATTACAAATAGAGCTACTACAAACATGCTTTTTGAATGAACTTATGCTTTTATTTTCCTTGGGCAAATACCTAGGAAATGGATTCCTAGGGCTTCCCTGGTAAGATGGTAAAGGATCCACCTGCCATGCAGGAGACCTGGGTTCCATCCCTGGGTTGGGAAGATCCCCTGGAGAAGGGAATGGCAACCCACTCCAGTATTCTTGCCTGGAGACTCCCATGGACAGAGGAGTCTGGCGGGCCCACAGTCCATGGGGTCACAAAGAGTGGGACACGACTAAGCGACTAACACCTTCACTTTTCTTTTCACGGCGTCATGGGGCTTCCCTGGAGGCTCAGTTCTATCCCTGGGTTGGGAAGCTCCTCTGGAGGAGGAAATGGCCACCCACTGCAGTATTCTTGCCTGGAGAATCCCTTGGACAGAGGAGCCTGGCGGGCTACAGTCCACGGGATTGGAAAGAGTCAGACATGACTGAAGTGAATGAGCACGCACATACGCATGGTTTTAATATATTAATTAAACTAAATTTAATTAATACATTTAATTTTTTTTAAACTGCCAATCTATTTTTCAAGTGTTTTGCATTCTCCATAGCAGGGTATAAGAGCTCCGTTTGCTCCAATTCCTCGTCAACAGTTGGTATGACTTTTTACTTTAATGATTCTATTTTGTGGGTTTGTATTTCACTTACTTTATTGTATATTCATGTCTTTTTTTTTGCTAGCTACTTGGCTTGGGAGATCTTACTTCCTGATCAGGGACTGAACCTACACCCCCTCAGAGGAAGCTTTGCTAACCACTGGACTGCCAGGCAAGTCCCTCACATGCCTTCTTTTGTGAGATTTCCATTCAAAATTTTTGCCCAGTTAAAAAACTTAGTTATCTGTATCCTAATACATATCTTTGGCTGAGGTATGTGGTACAAATATTTTGTTCCAGTGTGTGGTTTGACCTTTTAGCTTTCTTAATGGTCTTCTTAGAAAAGTTTTAAATTGTGATGTCAATTTATCAATTTTTTATGATTTATGTTTTTGGTTTTATCTAAAGAACTCTTGTCTACCCAAGATCACAGGAGATTTTTCTCCTGTCATTTTCTTCTAGAAGTATTAAATCTTCATGTTTAGGTCTATTATCCATTTGAGCATTTGAGTTAATTTCTGTGTAGAGTGTAAGGTAAATATTCCACTTTTCCCATGGAGAGATCTAGTTTTTCCAGCACCATTTTTTTTTCCAGAAGACTTTCCATTTCCCAGTAAGTGCCTTGACACTTTCCTTGGAAATGTTTATAGATGTGGGAAAAGAGTACATTCAAGGTATATTCAAATAATTTATCTATAAGTCTCAGTAGGATAGCAGAATGAAAATGGGCCAAGCATTAAAGATAATTTATGTGGTTATGAATCTATTTTCATCAAATATATTTTCTTTTAAATATTCTTGATGTCTATTCAAGAATGCATTGGGCAATTCTCTTTGATTCTAAAATGACATGAATAGTAACATTCACATTATGACAGCAGATACCATTCCACCTACCATTTAAATATTCAGGCTTCCTGGTGAAGAGAAGCCTTTTTCCAGATATTTGGGTTTGGTAATGCTCACAAATTCCAGAATTTTCTTCAAATGCAATACACCCCGAAGTGACACAAAATGAAAAAACAGGTCTCAATTTTACTCAAAAATCCAGATCTATGGTATTAATAAACTCACAATAATTTAACTTTCTATGTTAGGAGTGCCAAAATAAGCTAACATTTAACTGTGTGACAAAGAAAGAAACAGAAAAAGAAAACCCAACACCTATGAAAACAGACATCTAAAATTTTAATGATGTAAAAATAGCCTCTACATATAGTACGGGAAAGAGATTAATAGAGATTGAACATTTTGGTTTTGAAAACATGAAATGTCACCTCTTAGCTTAGAACAAGTCATCTCCTAAGAAATACACATTATACGATGAAATCTACAAAGACAGTTTTTCAAACTCATTGTTGATTTTCAGCAACCCCCTTCCTCTGCACACACTTGCTTGTCCTACAGCAATCCCGACTTCTTTTGGCAGAATAGAACGTTGAGAACTACAACAGTGGTTGTTCTGAAAAGCACCTTCTGGGTAAGTTTCACTGATTTTTATTTTTTTCTTTCATCCCACTTAGATCATGTATCCTTCTCTCCTAAATCCTTTCCTGTTCCGATAATTTGGTTGTCTAAAACAAGCAAGCTTAATTAAGTCAAGGCATATATTGCAAATCAAACATTTTCCAATTGACTGGAATGGGATCATTAAATAAAAACTGGACTGATAAGCCATATATAACTTGCTTCTTGACTTGGTGATATGTGAGTACATTTACCCACTGGGTAGGAAGGGTTTCACCTGCCCCATGATGAATCCGATGGCTTGTGATGTGTTCGTGCTGTGCCAACCCCAGCATGTACCGGAGGACAGACTGCGGAATGGATGCTGTGCTGAGCTGGGGGACAGTGAATGGGCTGTGTACATGGGGCCATTGGCCAGGCAGCGCCGTAAAGCCTAGATGGGCTCCCGACAGCTGCTCTCAACGGTGGGTCTGCATGTGCACGTTTTAGGGAGGGTAAGGGATCAAGCCATGACCTCTCTTAACAGTAAGATGTGGCCTGGCGACTCTAGCGTTTAGGTGATTGAGGAACTGGCCAGCTTTCCTCAGGACCCAGGGATAGCAGCACCTAAGAGCATAATGAGTCAGAAAGGCCTCTGCTTACAACTCAGGGGGAACCGTCTTTCTTTTGTGGATGACCACAGTCCGATGTGTCTTTAGGAATTCCTGCTGCAAACAATATGCTTTTTTTGCCAATCTGAAAACATCCTTTGGAAAATCTCATGGCCCAATCATTCATAAATGCCGATGATCAAAAAGCCCTGGGGATGGACTTCCTGGGTGGCCCAGTGGTTAAAGACTCTGAACTCCCAATGGGGGAGTTCTGTGGGGCATGGGTTCCACCCCTGGTCTGGTCTAAGATCCCACGTGCCACCTGGTGGGGCCATCAAAGAAAACCTTTGGGGAACACGTGGTCTCCTTTTAGTGGGACAGCGTCCTCCCTATGTTGAAACAACCCAGCCCTAATCGGGATACAGCCTCAAAATACACGTGTCTCCCCTCTGGCACCTAATGTGTCAGAGTTTGGGTTAAGATGTATCAATACTTTCTGAAACTTTCTAAGAGGGTTTTTTTTTCCACCCAGAAGTGAGGCATCTTGTAATAACATGCCTGAGACGGCCAATTTTGGAAGGGCTTTCAAAAAGGAAACAAGGTGTTAACCCGCCTCCTTATAGAAGGTGAACACTTGCAAATACATTACTGTGTGTCTCAGACTTGGGAGCAACAGGCTCAGAACAATCACGAGCATGTGTAGAGCAATAGTACAACCAGTTGGTAGGTTTTTTCTAAAAAGAAAATGCAGCATTGGGAGGTGCTTCCTAAGGTGCTTCTTAACTCATGGTTCTTAATGGAATGTATCAGACAAACATCTACAAACGAACATGAACAGGTAGTCACACACACGTGGACAAGATTCTGTACAGTTTGTGTCTCAGATGCTGACGTGTGTACATAAGAACCACACAGGGGGGGAAGAAAAAGCCACCTGCCCCCTGGAGTTCCCTGAATTTCTGAATGCCATCTAGCCCCTCAAATGTTAAAGTCTCTCACTTTTATACAAAAACATCTACAAAAATAGACAAGATTTACAAAAACCAGAGAGGATTTTCCAGTTTCCCTCAGTACCCCACGGCAGTGCTCCCTCTCCCCCTTCTGCGCTCAGAACGTGGCCATCTCCAGCAGAGAGCGCTTGAAGAGCTGCGCGTTCCTGGACAGGTCGGTCACCTGGTGGACCACCTCCTGCAGGGCGGGGGTGCTGGGGTAGTGGAGCGCGGCTGTCTTGGTGGCCAAAACTATAGTCTTGAGCTGCTCGCACAGCTGGTTGCTGGCGTTCATCACTTTGTTGCGAACGTCCTGGGCGGCCACCTGCCGGGTCAGCGTGTCTCCGATGAACACCAGTTTGTGGGCGCTGAGGATGACAAATTTGCTGTGGGCCACGAAGATCCTCGGAGGCTGCGCCGCACTGAGGCAGCTGAAGAGCGCGTCGATGGCGCTGAGCAGGGAGATGTAATGGGTCTCGCATTGGTCATAATAGAAGCAGAGGAGCTGCCGGTCCTGCGCGCTCACGCCGCTGCTGGCGGTCGGGAGGCTCTGCGACGGCTTCCACTTGGAGATGTCGTTCTCCACGGGCTTCGTGATTTCCTGTTCCAGCAGCTGGAACTGACTCAGCTGCAGGGGAGAAACAAAGCCCGAGTTGGTTAAGGACGAGGCGGTGTCTGCCGAAGTGGAAACTAACCAGGGGCTTGCAGCTGTTAAGGCAGGGATGTTCATGACAGGTGCTTTTTAGATGCCAGGCCTTGTCGGGTGGCCTGGCTTTCCTGAGTTGTAAAATGCAGAGGTTCAGAAAGAGGATGCCTAAGGAATCCTCCGGCTCTGACTTCCGCGACTGGACATGATTGGTTTCTTCTGTCCTCAGGCTGGAAAGCAGGGTAGGGTTTCAACCCAGCTCCCTTGGACAGCAAAGAGATCAAACCAGTCAATCCTGAAGGAAATCAACCCTGAATATTCACTGGAAAGACTGATGCTGAAGCGGAAGTTCCAATACTTTGTCTGCCTGATGCCAAGAGCCAACTCACTTGAAAAGACCCTGATGCTGGGAAAGATTGAACACAGGAGGAGAAGGGGGCAACAGATGATAAGATGGTTGCAGTCAAATGCTCTACCACTGAGATATATACCCTGATAAGATGGTGGGATGGCCTCACTGACTCAATGGACATAAGTTAGAGCAAACTCCGGGAGATAGTGAAGGACAAGGAAGCCTGGCGTGCTGCAGTCCATGGAATTGCAAAGAGTCAGACATGACTGAGCAGTTGAATAACAACAGTTACCTACGTCTTTACAAAGGTTAAATGAGTTGATATTTGCAAAGTGTTTAGAATAGTGTTTGGTATTATGTAGGCTCTAGGTAAATGTTTATTAAACGTTGAGTGGTGGCCAAGGAAAAGCAAATGTAGAGATCTCTTGGTCAAGTCAGCCACTGATGTTTGCTCTTTGTAGAGGAAAGCCTTGACTTTGTCCCTTTAAGACACTTACATAAAAGATAATCTATAACCCTTTTCTATTTCTCCTACTCTTTCTGACCAGATTTATAAATGTCATTATCCAGCAACATAGGGATGACTAATGTATATAAACGGGGCGTCCCAGGTGACTCAGTGGTAGAGAATCTGCCTGCCAATGCAGGAGACTTGAGTTCGATCCCTGGGTCAGGAAGATCCCCTGGAGAAGGAAATGGCAACCCACTCCAGTCTTCTTGCCTGGAGAATCCCATGGACAGAGGAGCCTGGTGGGCTGCAGTCCTGGCATCACAAAGAGGAGCACATGACTTAGCGACTAAACAAGAAAACAACAAATGCATGTAAATACACACGCACTGTGGAAGAGATCTTCTCTAAAGGGATCTGAACACTGATTGGGCTCATCATATCACCTGGACCCTCAACGCTGTCTCAAGGAAGGGACCTTACCCCGGGTCAGACTCAGTGTTAGCTTTCTCCCTTCTCTCATGGCCCCTAGATGGTGTGTTATCTAAATTGCAGTAGTTCCCAGCTATTGCACCAAGTGTCAGGAGAGACTCTCTTTGGCAGGCAAGGATTATCCATCACTGGAGTTTAGGAGTCAGTCAATCTTCTGCCCCCAGACAGGGTTGAGTCTGAGCAGGGTTAACCTCACCCAGCTTCTCCTTTGAGAAATGCACTTAAGACTCTTAGTTTCCTTAGATTCTGTTTTCTTCTTAGGAATCACTATGATTCCAACAAGTCCCCTAAAGCCCTGCAGCCTAAACTTGGCCGAACGCCAAAGCAAATATAAACAGGGTGATGCTTTAGCATAGTTAGCTTATGCTTTTCCAAGTATGTTCATAAATATATCATCTCATTAGATGGAGGGGAGAGGGGTTTTCTCATTTTCTAGAGAAATAATTGATGTTTGGGGAGGTTAAGTGACTTGTTTAAGGTCACGTAGTTGGTTGGTGAGAAAGCACAGATTGGAACTCTGGTTTCCTGAGTTCTGTGTGCTATTCATGTCACTGCACACCATTTCAGTTCATCTTAAAAGGCCTAGAAATCCTTGATCCACTTCTCGCTATTCTTATGCCCTTACATTAGCAATACCCATTATTATTTGCCCCACTCATGCCCAACTTTTGAATGAAACTGCCTTGCCCGAAGCCCTTAGTAAATGGACTTGGATATATTTTGAATCCCACCCTCCAACCCTTAAACTGGACCAAGAATAGCATAGGCTTGTGTTGGAGAGACAGAGAGAGAGGGGAGAAAAGGAGACAGACAGAGATAGATATGGCTCAGACTCTCTTTTTTTGGGGAATTTTATAAACCTGAGAAGGAGCTGTTAGCTTAGGTCGCCAAGATGAAAACCTATCTACAGAAAAGACTTTGAGTGGCCATTTATGGGTTCTGTAAAAGTTCCAGGAAGTCAAATGAGTAGAGAAGCAGAGGAAACTGCCAGAAACAGAGGCAAAGGAAGTCAATTTAGAGAGAAGCAAAGGAAATAGAGAAAGGAGAGGGAATGGACAGTCCTAGTTCTTTCAGATGTGGCTGTATCTTCATTTTCTGTTCTTGAATTCTCCCATTATGGCTTTACTATAAAACCTGTTTGCTTGGGCCAGTTTGAGTGGGTCTTGCTCCTTAAGACCAACTGCCTTAACCCAAACAGTCCTAGTGTGTTAGATGTACAGGCTTAGCCTGGAAAGCTGCTATTTGAACAGAGTCCAGGTACACCCAGCTGGATTACCAAGGCCATAAACCTTTTCTTTGTTCTTTTACCCTACTGATGCCAAAGTGTACTGGAAGGATCAAAATCATGATCTTTTGAAGTCATACCTTTCTTATTAAATGGGAAGTGTTTTCAACACTAAATAGTTTTTGTTCTGATTGAACGTACCTGATGATGTTCCAGCTGCATCTTATTCTGTTTGATGATATTTTCTTTTTCCAAGAGCTCTTTCTGTTGCCTCTCGAACTCCTCCTTCCCCTTTTATTTTTCAACATAAAGAAAACATTACATCACCACTATGATTCACTTATGCTAACAGCTTCATTGACAAACATGTAAATACTCTTCCACTGCTTTGGAAACTTCCTGCATGCCCAGTTAGGTCCTGTGAACCCCAGTTCTCAGCTGAACTTCCAGAGTCACTGTGTAAATCGGAAGTGAAAACTAAGACCTATTTCCATATGGGGTGCCATGCTCTCCACTCCACTTTACCATTTTTGTGGGACTATCCATGACCTCCACTCCCCCAAACCTCCTTAAGCAGTACTTTTTCTCAGGGTTCTTTTCTAATAGATTATCTGCAAACCCATAAACCTCCTGCTCAGCTGCTTCAGTCGTGTCGGACTTTCTGTGACCCTATGGACTGTAGCCCACCAGGCTCCTCTGTCCATGGGGTTCTCCAGGCAAGAATACTGGAGTGGGTAGTCATTCGATTCTCCAGGAGATCTTCCCCACCCAGGGGTAGAACCCAGGTCTCTCGCATTGCAGGCAGATTCTTTACCTTCTCAGCCACCAGGGAAGCCCCTGCAGGTCTAAATGTGGGCCACATTACATTTCTAGTCTCTTCAAGCTATCTGCAATTCTATAGCAAATCACTATTTTCCAAAACGCAGAGTTGGTCAACCAGCCGGGTCAATGGCTTTTGTTTGTTGTCGTTTGGCTCAGCCACGTGGCATGTGGGATCTTAATTCCCTGACTAGAGACTGGAGCCGTGCCCTCTGCATTGGAAGTGCAGAGGACTTAACCCCTGGGACTGCCAGGGACGTCCCCGGGGAGATGCTTAATGCTTCCATCTACTCCCTCCCCACACTGCTCTTCCCCACAAGGCGTGGCTTGCTCTCTCTTCCCCCAGTTGCAGTAGAGAATTTTCTAAGTGCACCACAACAGAGCGGTTTTCAGTAATCCTCGGGACAATCCAAGGCTGTCAGTCAAATGAAAAGAATGGTAGAATGAGATAGTAAGCCAAATTCTAAATAACGGATCTTGTAGAACGTTTTAATCCCCCAAAGGGAAACGGCAAGCTGTCATGATCCCGGGTCAATCTGGTAGAACTGTCACTTGTAGGAGGCAGACTATCATGGCCTAATTTCCCATATGCAGGTTAACTTGTATATCAATTGGCAAATGCCCAGTGGTCTTCAAAGTAAGACTATGGTGGGGTTAACTTTCTCTGTGAGTAATTACACACATACACACACACACACACACACACACACACACACAGAGTACAGAGCTGAAGGAAACAGAAGATTCTCTAGTGCAGAGGTTTTCAAATCCTTTTTTTTTTTAAACAGTGAAGCACACTCCTCCTCCTACTTATATTTTTTTCTTCAAGTTAAATATCCTACAGAACCGTATCATGAAATATGAATACACGTGGAGCCGGCCTATTTGGGGGCCCACTGTCCTACTTGGGGCTTCCCTGGTGGCTCAGTGGTAAAGAATCTGCCTTCCACGCAGGAGCCACAGAAGACTTGGGTTTGATCTCTGGTTTGGGAAGATCCCCTGGAGGAGCGTATGGCAACCCACTCCAGCATTCTCTCCTGGAGAGGCTGGTGGGTGATAGTCCATGGGGTAGCAGAGAGTTGGACACAACTGAAGCAACTTAGCACTATCCTGTGGGGGGGTGGGGGGTGGGGGGGGCAGTCTCTTCCTGCTTGCCTGAGGCATATCAATCAGATCTAATTCAAGGCTGTGCTTCATTCATTTTGCAAATGAGGAAGTTAGGTGAGGTTACATAAGTTGGTGACACAGTCAGTGTCCTGGAAAAGTCTAGAGGACTCTGGACTCTGACCTGCATTCTTCCTACTGGACAACACTGCCTCCAGCTTGTGAACCAGTAACCGTGTTCCTGAACCTTTAATCGTGGTCTCCACTGCCGCGGTCTAGTCTGCATCTTACAGGTGTGAGCCCCAGGCCCCCGCACGTGAATGCCTGAGCCTTAGGAGTCTGGCCTCTTTACCTGCAGGTGGACGTAATCATAGTCATCCATCCAGCTCCTTTCCGAACCATCGCTGCTGCTACAGTCGGGGGGCTGCTCCTTGCCCAGGCTGGGGGGCAGTGGCTTGTTGAGGGCGGGGGCCTTGTGGTCCCCGGGGGGCAGCAGCTGCCCCGGGGAGCCGGCGGGCGGGTACTCGGTGGAGTTCGTGATGCTCTCCGGCCCGCCCTTCCCGGGGCCGGCTCTGAAGAGGGCCTCGGCGTTGGTGCTGATGGTCGTGGTGAGCTGCTTGGCGTCGTCCGGCACGCTCTTGGCCACCATCACGAAGCGGTCCAGACTGTCCCACTTGTTGTGGGGCTTGTGGACGGCCAGCACGTTCAGGGACCAGCCGCACTCGCTCAGCTCGTGGCTGGTCTGGCCCAGGATCTGGTGGGAGTCCTCCAGCCGCTGGAGCTCGCGCTTCACCTTGTGGTGGAGGACGAGCTCGGGGAGGCAGGCGGCGTTGGCCGCGGCGCCCTGCGCGAAGTGCAGGTAGTCCCTGAGGACCAGCTCCACCCTGTCCGCGGCGGCGCGGACCCCGTTGACGTGCCGCTCCATGTAGCCGTAGCTCCGCCAGTCCGTGGTGACCAGCGCCATCAGGCTGGAGACGGCCCCGTCCAGGGCTTGCTGCAGCCGGAGCAGGCGCTCGAGGGCCGCGTCCGGGTCCAGGAAGAGCCTCCTGTCCTGCGCCGGGGAGGTGGACAGCGAGGACTCCTTGGAGGTGGTGGAGGACGTGGACATGGTGCTCCGCGTGCTGCCCGTGCTGGAGAAGGACAGCCGGTTGATGCCGTCCACCACGTCCGCGGGGCCCTTGGCTTCCGGCGGCTGGTGCAGCGGCACGTCGTACACCCCGTCCCTCTCTTCCGGGCTGGCCTTCTCGCTGGTTTCTGCTGGCGCGTCCAGAAACTGGACGCCCCGGGGGATGTCGTAGGCATCGTTGTTCTGGGAGCCCACGGGTGGGGCCGGCTGGGGGGCCGGCTGGGTCAGGGACGCGCCCCCGTGTCTCCGCGGGGCCAGCTCGGCAGCCCCGGGGGCGTCGCCGTTGTACTTAGGGTGCAGGTCCTTCCCCAGGGGCTTGGCGCCCGTCGGGGGGATGTCATAGATGCCCTCAGGCCTGCCCGCTTGTCTCAGCGGAGGCGGAAAGTCGTACTCTTTCTCCCGGAGCCCGGCCTCGTCTCTGTAGCCGGAGGGTGGAGTGGAATATCCCTGGGAAGCAAGCGGACAAGGACACTGTTATCTGCCGAGCGGGTTTAAGCGGGGGTGCAGAAACCGCGCGGTGCGTCCCCACGAGGGCCAGCGGTCCTCCTGGGTGCTGCCCCCTCCCCTCTCCTCCACGCGTCAGGTGTCTCCGGAGGCTGCGCCAGGCTCTCGCCTCCACCCTCTGTCGAGGGCGCCTGCCCCTGGATGCCCCACTGCCCTGTGTGTGGACCCTCCTGCCTGAGCTGCTTCCGGGGTTCCTGGCCCAGGTGTCAGGAAACCAGAGGTCTCCCCGGGGACCTGCTAGTGGGGTGATGCTCAATCAGCTGCTGAAAGGTTCTAAGACGCAATTCCCTCTTACGTGGAATCAGGATGAGGGCACTTCCTGTGCCGGTGTAGCCCAGAGTGACTCCAAACCCGTATGGTATACACAGCCTGATTCAGCTGTGACATCCTGTATATACATGAGTCATGTGACATACGGGCTTCCCTCCTCACTCAGTCAGTGAAGAATCTGCCTGTGGTGCTGGAGACCTGGCTTCAGTCCCTGGGTCGGGAAGGTCCCCTGGAGGAAGGCATGGCAACCCACTCTAGTATTCCTGCCTGGAGAATCCCATGGACAGAGGAGCCTGGCGGGCCACAGTCCAGGGGTCACAAAGAGTCAGACATGACTGGGCGACTACACCACCATCATAGGACATGTATGAGTTGCTGGCCAAACAGAATTGGTTGTTTTTCCTTCTTACTGGCTCACCTTATTGACGGCCCCATTTTCTTACGGGGAGGGGGGTTGAATATGAAATCCCTACAATCGTCTTTGTTGTCTCTTCTTCGCCCCCTGGCTCCCCTTCCTTCCCTGTCCTTGCTCACAAAGACAAGCTTTCCTCTTTGAATTATCTCACACATATGCGCGCGTGCACACACACACACACACGTGCAGGCGCTTTTGGCAGCTTCTGCAGTACCTCACTTACCCCTTTGCTAGGAGGGATGTCATAGACTCCTTGAGGCTTTATTTCTCCCACTGGGACAGAAAACACGGGGCCCTTCACAGAGGACGGTGGGATGTCGTACACCTGGGGAGAAACACCTGAGTTACCCAGCATGGAAACACTTGTCATTTTATTTATTTATTTTAAATTTACACATCTATTTTTGGCCGTGCAGAGTCTTTCTTGCTGTGCGGGCTTTTCTCTAGTGATGGCTCGAGGAGGCTGCTCTCTAGCTGCGGTGCGGGGGCTTCTCGTTTTGGGGGCTTTTCCGGTTGCAGATCCCCGGCTCTAGAGCACAGGCTCAGTCATTGTGGCTCACGGGCTGAGCTGCTGCGTGGCATGTGGGATCTTCTGGGACCAGGGATCGAACCCATGTCTCCTGCACTGGCAGGCGGTTTCTTTACCACTGAGCCACCGAGAAAGTCCTACTTGTTGTTTTGCTATGTATTAAACTTTTAATGATGGATCTGTTTACCAGATTATGTAGTCTCTTGCTTTGGCTGAATTCTATGTAATAAAAATTGATGGAATTTCTGAATTTTGGGTTCTTTGACTTAGATTGAATATAAAAATAATCTTAGGTGGAAAAAAAACCCTGCACTGTGTGTACTTTATTATTTTTAAAAATTAATTTAATGGTTTGTGGCTGCCCCGCACAGCATGAGGGGATCTTGGTTCCCTGAGCAGGGATCCAACCTGTGCCCTCTAACCTTTGGATCTCCAGGGAATTCCCAACACTGTCTGTACTTTAAAGTGTAGTTTAAACTTTACGCTCCCTGAGAAAAGGATAAGCAACAAAAGCTTTGTGTGATCCAAGCCTCGGATTCCTTAAAAAAGCAAATCCAGAAAACAAGTAATACTGGCCCCTGGATAGACAACTTAAATAAAACTTCACATGAAATGTGCAGATTTTTGTGAACTTCCCTTTCCTCTGGAGCCCAGAAGCAGAGCTGCCCGAGGTGCCCCTCTCCCCGGTGACGACCACGTTCTTGGTACGCACCCCGTGAGCCGTCTGGAAAGGAGGGACATCGTAGACGTCCTTTTGGTATCTGGTCGGGTACTCGTACACATAGCCGTGGCTTGTCCTCACCGGCGTGATCACCTGTGGGTGGGAAGACACGAGTAAACCTCCAAGCCGAGTCCTGAGGGCACCTGGAAGCTCGTAATCAGACACTCCGCCCCCATCGCTCCCCCACTAGGAAAACAAAAGAAAGAGGTAAGAGACCAAAGGAAGGAGGCAAGGAGACACCAAGCAAGTCAACTTTCAAATCCCTCTTGAATCCCAGTGAAGAACCAGTCCCTGAAATCTCTCTGCCTTCCCCAGGGTAACAAAATCACCTCAAAGCTGGTCAGGCCAAGTCCCGATTCCCAAAAGGTACTTGAAGGGAGCATGTTCATTCGCTTCAGTTGTGGCCGACTCTTTGGGACCCCCTGGACTGTAGCCCACCAGAGTCCTCTGTCCATGGGATTCTCCAGGCAAGAATACTGGAGTCGGTTTCCATTTCCTCCTCCAGGGGATTTTCCTGACCCAGGAATCGAACCTTCATCTCCTGCATTGCAGGCGGATTCTTTGCCCACTGAGCCATCTGAAAGTCCCACTTGAAGGGAGAATTGTGTTTAAATCATGAAAGTCCCAGATCTGGAGCACAGCATAATGAAAAAATAAAAGGGCTCTGAAACCATTTGTAAAGTGAATAATGTAAATAGAGTTGAACCACTTAAAATTCCTCTCATACCTTCCCCAGGAAGCCTCTTCATCTGACGTGATTATGATTATAACTAAAATTCCATAGGCCATGAATTTCATAGGTTTATGAAGCTAAAGCTCGCACAGCTCGCACTGCCTGAGATGCCTCCAGTTTTCACGCTAACGAATGAAATGCATGAAATACTGAGTCCTGGAGCCGACCAGGAAGAGAGCTCAGGTCTAGTCATTTTCCCATTTCCACCAGGGAAGCAAACATCCAGATGGTGCCCACAACCAAGTGATGTCAGATGTCAGACACACTCATCGCAGCCCAGCATCTGGAACTAATGTCAATGAAACAAACCTCACCCGCCAGGCTTCTATTTTCATATCTACACGCCCCACTGTGTCCTAAGCACGGGTAGAGAAATTACTGGAACTTAATCTCCTTTGAAAACATATTTAATCCCCCCTAGAGCTTCTAAATGACCAGGGTCTTGTGTCTGCCTCACCCCTGTGGGGGGACATGCTAACAGCACCCAGCTCAGTATTTGTCCTCGACATTTGTGAGAACAGACATCGCAGATTAGGAAGAGCTGGTTGTTCCCTGAGAAACCATCATCTTTTATCCTTTCTCTAATGTGAAAACTCTGGCGTCAGGCTGCCTACGAAAGTATGCAAAAAATGCTCACATCCGTCTTACCCCGAAATGGGTGGAACTCAGCCAAAAGCACCAGTGCCCTTCTCCCTGGGGGCTCAAAATGCCTGGGTTCAATTTGCTTTTTAAATCCCTGGTGCTTGTAGCTGATTATGTCTGCAAGGAAGGTAAAAGAGATTAGTATGCAGCCACCAGCCCAGCCCACCTCTCCACTGCCTCTGGTTTAAAAAAGGAGTCTCTTGCTTTAAGGTTTGTTGGCACAGAGCAAACAGAACCATTTCACAAAGTGGCTACTGTATGGTGCAGAGCAAGTCTTGCTTTTTAAAGCAGGATCCTAGTCCCTCAAAAAAGATACACTGTGTTCCCTATGCCCTTAGATGATTTATTTTTTTCTTCACTCACTATTGTCCAGGAGAGACATGAAGTACCTTCTCTTCCTCTATCTCATCAGCTCCTCTATTTATAGCTCTCTGTTTTGGCTCTTTAATAGAACCTACTCACAACCCTGCTTCTGTTCTCTACAAGCTTCTAAGAGTGGATTCTATCCAAGGCTGCCAAGTTAGTAATAACGCTAATGGAAAATCAAGGCTGGTTATGCTGAAGGCCAGCCGCAGGGCTTCATCTTTAGTTTGAAAAAGGGAGGGGGGTTGGGAGATAGATGGGGTGGTGCTGGTATCTGAAAATAGCCCTTGGTACATGTAAACAGGAGGCACGGTCTCAGGAAGGCGGGCCCCAGTGAGGCTCTGCCTTGCCTGTGCCGATGGTCCCTGGCAGAGGGCATCCAAGCTCCCCAGTATTTAACACCTCACTTCCTGACAAATGTCACCGAACTCCTGCGTGCTCCCTCTTTCTCATTTAGAGGATGCCTGTGGTTATCTTTTTTTTTTTTTAACTTTGCATTCCAAACCAGTCATTTTCCTAGTTTATGCATTAAAAGAAACAGATGGTGAAAACCACAGGGGGGAAAAGCCGACAAAATACAGCCTCCCTGGACGTGACCATCCAACTCACACGGGTCCACAAATGGCAAGGAGAGGGGACCCGGGCCGTGCCTCTGGTCAGACGCGGGCGGGGCTCTGCTGAGGTCCCCTGTGCCGCCTGGGAGGACGAAGGGCTGGACGCCTTGCCCTTCTGGAGGGCTCCTCCTCGCCCCGCTGCTCGGGTCACTTTCATGCCAATTGCGTGTTCTCTCCTCAGAGCAAAGTGCTGACTGTTCTGTACCTTACAAAGTATCCAGTTTTGTGGTTTAAAAGGCCAGTTTCTTACTGCTTGACAAAGTCCACAAAAACCTTTCTCCTCTCCCAGGATCACTGAACCTCAGCCTACGAGGAACACCAAGGTCTGGCTCAGGGGAACGTACACTTGGGGCGAAATCTCCTGGGCGTTTGCACGGCAGGCAAGGCACGGATGCTCCACACAAAGGGTGTCTTAAAAACTAATTTTCTCAATGAAGTCAGGTCAGGCTTTTCATTTCCTCTCTCCCTCCGTTTGTTTTTCTTTCCTGCATTCCTTTCATTCTGCGTGCTTATTTATAGTTCCAAGGGCTTAGCCTTAGGAATTACCAAAGTGACCTCTTAATGCCTTAGTGATGCCACAAAGAGGGGGCAAATTGTGGCCTTCCCGGGGCTCTGTGACCAGCTGCTCCTGAAACTGGTTTCCTGGTTCTCCTGCAGAGGGTTTTCTGTCCAGGTGAGGAATCTACCCTTCCTGGGATGTTTGTATACTTATCATTCCTGTCAACTAATGGAAGAGTCTGAAGGTGGATCTCTGAGAAGAGCTATGGAGCAAAGGGCAGACTGTAGGCATGTGGAAAAGGGACGGTCCATTGAATAAACCTTTGAGGCTGGATCCCAGCAGGGGAGGATCAAAGTTTGGGAACTGGGGTTATCTTAACTCTCTACTAATTTATTTTTTCAGATTTTAAAAAATTTATTGGAAGACAATCGCTTTTCAATGTTGTGTTGTTTACCATATGACCCAGCAATCTCACTACTGGGGATGTACTCTGAGAAGACCATAATTGAAAAAGACACATGTACCCCAATGTTCATTGCAGCACCACTGATAATAGCCAGGACATGGAACCAACCTAGATGTCCATCAACAGATGAATGGATAAAGAAGTTATGGTACATATATACAATGGGCTATTACTCAGCCATAAAAAGGAGCGCATTTGAGTCAGTTCTGGTGAGGTACATGAATCTAGAGCCTGTTATACAGACTGAAGTAAGGCAGAAAGAGAAAAATATTGTATATTAATGTACATATAATGAAATCTACTAATTCTGCTTGTAGAAAAAGCAAAAAAATGCACAGGGCTTACCCCGTCCCATACTTTAGTTCGCATCATTTTGTGCCTCAGATTCTGGGCAGCATGCATTCTTTAGAGATGCTATTAAGACTTCCATGTCTCGTAATTTTGAGACCTGTGCATGCTGAGATTTGGAAGATGGGGTGTCTGTGTCTAGGGTGGCAGTGAGGGCTAGGGGACACTGAAAACCACCAGGTGTGAGTGTCACTGAGCCGGGACCGAGCCCTGGGTCTGTCACCCGTGTCTCTACATTCCGTTGGCCTGAGTTTGCACCTGTAGCAGGGCCCAGGCCTGATGCGGAGCTGCCAGTGTGCTGAGCAGGTCGGGGGAAGGGAGAGACACGCTGAGATCCTGTGCTGGGAGCACAGAATTCCTCCCCTTCTGAGAGGTGGCAGCCAGTCCTCAGCTCTAGCCAGCTGCCATCTTGAAAAAAATACTCCCGGTGTTCCCGGATCTTTCCAATTTTCACGAGAAGCCAGAAATCTGGGTTTTCATGTGGTATCTGGTTTTCAAAATTGGCTCCACTATTTCAAACAGCATCCTGGCCAACGACACATGTCTCTGGCCCCCAGGTGCCGGTCCTGACTCTCATCTGTGTATTTCTTCCTCCCCCAGCCCCCTCAGTCTGAGGGCAGAACCCCGAAGCTCTTCACCAGTCCCGTGTTTCGGCAAGACGGAAGCACTCCATTTTTCGCAGGCACCCTGCGTGTCTCACCTCTGTGCTCCCCCTCGTGCTGTGTCTTTGTACAAGATGCTCGACTTTCTTTCCTCCTGTGCAAACTTTATTCAATCTTTGAGCCAACCTGAGTGCCCCTCTCCCACAAAGCCCTTCCCAGACAGATACATCTCCATCCTTGGAACAGACTGTGTGTGTACCCACATCTCTAACAGTGCTTATCCCCTGAGGACTGACTGTTTCAGGCTATTTCATCTCTTTTCTTCTCACTGTGAGCATGGAGACGGGCTGAGTGCAGTGCCTTGAATGTAGTAGATCTCGGATAAAGGTATAGACTGAATATGGTAAAAGGAAGGCAGTAAAGGAAAACCTGGGCCTTCTCTTAAGCAAAGGGGTGTGGCTCTGCAGAGGGGAATTACAGATGATGAGGCTGGTTCCCAGTTAGGCCAGCTCTAGGATGAGTGGTATCCGTGGAAGGAGGGGCGTGGCTTATCAGCCACCCGGGGCAGCGCTGTGCAAGTGGGGTGACCAGCAGAGCAGGCGGCGCCTTGGGTAGAGCTGAGAAATCAGAAACCGCGGAAGGATTTTATCACCTGCAGCACTCTGGTGCAAACCACAACTGGATGGGAGCCAAGAAGGGCCACTAGCTGCTTTCCTTTTCCCCAGCCTAGAGCCTGCATGTGACCCAAACACCTGCATTCTTCTCAGCTGCAGGCCAGAAACATATGGGGGAGTTTTGCAAAAAGAAATGAAAACAAACTCTGCTT